CTGCAGAGCTGCTGCTCCTCCACTAAGTGACACAGGTGCACTTCATATGTAAGTGCAAGGAAGGGTAAATCCTACGTTCTTCCTGTAGAGGGACCGAAGAACAGGTCAAAACACGCTGGGAAGCAAATACAGCACCTCACAGCCCTACTCGAGGCAGGACCACCATCTTAGCCCTGGGCTTGGGTGGTGACCGACCACAAAATAGCGCACAGAGGCTGTTGGGCAGGGCAGAGGAGGTAGGCTGTGGCTTTTGCTCTGTTCATAAAACCACACACACACAACCCCCACCAAATTCAAGATGAGCCTTTAGGATGTGTAGGGGGATGTGTGTCTCTCTCTGAAGGGCTCTGCTGGGGGAGGAAGGTGGCAGCCCTAGCCTCTGAGGGGGGGTTTGTGAAGTACAGAAAAATGCCCTCCATTAAGTGCCTGAGTATGGAAGTGCAGTGGTGACTGAAAGAACTAACAGCCCCATCAGGGTGTGACTTTTGTGGGGGCAAAAAAATATAGTCAAGTAAGGCCTTTGGTGAGCTATTTAACCTGGCTGCTGTGTTTGCTTAAACCATGCATGATGTACCTATGTGTTTAAACAAGGTAATCCATGCCAAAGCAGATACCATCAACTATTATATTCCAGGAAGGATAAAATCTATCAGTCAACCACTGCTTACCGAGATATTTCAAGTGGTTAAATGAACAAACATCTGGTTTATTAATGGATGGATGGATGGATTGGATGGTTTGGGGGCAGGAGTGCTGCCCACTCTGGAGGGGTGCAGAGGACTCTGTGGAGAGTGCTGAGACATTCAGTGCAGCTGCCATAAAGGAATCCAACAGTGCATAGTGGTTTCAAGGTATATATATGCTGTTCACCTTCCCTTTTAATTTAAACTAATTTAACCTACTATAAGATGTTCTCCCTGTTTTAATAGACCTTGTTTTTGTAGCAATTACTGTCATTTAGGTAATATTACACAGATGTGCCCAAGGAGCACAAACTTGTGAGAAGCCCTGAAGAATTTCTGGCAGTATTTCTTTCTTGCAATCTAATTTCAGAGGCAGGAGAGCCACCCACTTGAATTACATTGAAGGCGGGCATAAGAAAAGTAACTGAAAGACTGAAAAAGAGATTAAATATCCTTTAAATATAAAAGAAATTAGACATGAGAATCTACACACCTTCTCTGTTGTGTTGCAATCAAACTGAAAAATGCCTCTCAAACTCATACAAGTAAGCTAACCTACTAAAATAAAGAAGTATCAGATACACTAAATAGGGGAAAATGGCAAACTTCTAAGCTCATGATTGACTAGTTCATTTTCCGGGTGCTTTTAAAAAACCTAAGCTTTAAGATGTGTTCTTCAGTTATGTCAAAGAATTATTCATATATCTTAATAACATGGGAGCTACAGCTGGGTTAACACACACACTGCCAGCAAAGTCACTCCAGTTAACACAAGCTGAGAATCAGCTTTTAGTTTGTTGGGTTTTCTTCCTGCTGTTGGTGGGACTTTGGCTTAGATGCTTGAATAAATTATTGCTAATCTTTGCCAGCTGAGGTAATGGCCACTGAGGTTCCTGAGGCCAGCAGGCTACCCAATACAGGCTTTGTCTTAAATGACTCAGAACCTCAAATTCTATTTGGACACACAATGAGCTTACCACTATGCATTAACTGAAGGTTTGGCTCAATTATGTCTTGGCTCTTTGCTATGGGAATGGAAGTGCCATGGGGTCAGGAAACTCTGCAAGTCAGAAGTCACTGTAGCTTTATGTCTGAATCTGACCTCTTTGCCTTCTAAAAACCTGTGCAAGCAAATCCAAGGGCAAAATCTGGGCCTTAATTTTTCTGACAGTACAACCTCAGCTAGGTGGCAGAAGACAAAAAAACGTTTTTCCAAGCTTATTTTGTTCTTGTTAAAATTTTTTAGTGGGCCAAGTCTCAATCTGGGCAGTTTGCCCTGGCTTCAGGAAGGAAAAAAAAAGAAAAAGGCACCATAAATTACAGGTACATCTAGAAATATTAACCTATGCCCAGAAATTACTCATCCACCAAAATTCTTCTGTATAATTCTATATATAAAGAGATGAGGTTGAATTCTTAGTCTTTAATGATCTGAGTGTCTTCCAGAAAATAGGATACTTCATCCTACACATCCCAAGAACACCTATTGAAAGGAAAACATTAAATGGACCAGACTTCATTTGACCAGCTCAAACCTGGAGCAGCTCCACAGCTTAAAAAATAAACACACAACCCCCCTCCAAAAACCACCTCCAACCAAACAAAAAAAACCCAGTATAACAACTCTTCTTTTCATTATGGTTTGAGTCGAGACAAAAATTTAAGTTTCGGATTCTAATACATTCATCATACTCAAACAGTGAAAAGAGGTACACCCACACTGGAGTTACCTTTTAGGAAGGTGACGAATTAATTCCATTTTAGTTAAACTGCTATGAAGTCCAGTGTGTTCATAATGTAAATTAATCAGATACATATGAGAGCATCCTTTGTCTATATTAGCTTTTTAAAAAATCTGAAATCCATATAAAGCTTCATTAATACAATACTGTTAAAAGTTGAAAAGTTGTACTAGATCTGCAGTTCTGCAAATATAGTATGTTACAGAGCCCTGTCATCATCTGAGATAAATTGGACTTTAATTGCAGAGCCCATATTCATCCCTGAGCTATTTGTGGCTTCAGAACTGTGCTGGGAGCTCAGTAATGCTGATGACCATGCATGGGAAAACTAGAACACAAGCAAATTAAGGGCCAATATCTACCATGCAGTTCTGAGGTTTCTCTAAAGCCCTAATCTGGACAGATTTTCACTGGGATAACTTTTCTTCATAATTTCAGATTTTTTCCTCAATGGAGAGTTACAACCTTTAGAAAAACATGGTTAGAAGTTTTAGCTAACATTGCCAATGTGGCAATGTGGCAACCATGTTTTTGAACAACTGTAAGAATAACTGCTCAAACTTTCAGGGGGAGAAGAGGGGGTGTCTGTAAAATAATCATTAAAAATTCAGCCATAGCAAAGACCAAACATGAAAAAGTCCAACAGAAGTACTTAAAAACTGGTAAAATTATAAACATCTGGGAATAGAACATTACCATAAGAAGCTGAAGCACAGTGTGGAATTATCAGTGGTAAGCCCTGTATATAATAAAAGGCAAACAAAGCTTAACAAACACTATCAAAGCATCAAGGAAGTGGACTTTAACAGACAAGTAAATTTCCCTGGAAGTCAGTGACAGAATCAGCTAGATTTTTAGTGCTGGTTTTGTTACATAAAGACATTCATACCTACATAAAGCCAAATTTCCGGTTCTTTTGTGCTGGATTCTTGCTAGTGTGGCCCAAATGAAATCAAGAGTTAAACTGACTTAAAGCAATAGAAAATTAAGCCTGTGATGCTATACCCAGTCTCCAAAAACAGCATTTCACTAATACGCACTTTGTATTCTGCAACACACCAAGAGAAGAACTTACTGCCATTCAGGAGATATATAACATGCAGGTGGATGTGTAATGTGTACATATACAGACAGCACCTCATGAGATTAACTGCCTTGAGGAAACAGTCTCTCCATGGAAACTTTGCAGGAGAAAACATGTTTTGTCTTGTGTGTGAGCTGGGGAGTCGGTTTGTCAGCCCAGAGCAACAAATTAAAAAGACTGTTTATGCTATCCAACTTGACAGTGTTTGTTACTAGGTATTTCTCCTTCTCACATTTTAATAATGGGGACAGTAACTTTGTGGCTTTAAACAATGGCTAATTTGTTCCCCTGAGGCCAAAAAACACTCAAGTTACAAAGAAAACATAAACATTCTAGGAAACAAAGACTACAACATATTCATGAAAATGAACATTCATATCGAATGAGAGAATACCAAAGACTACTGCTTTTTCAGACAACTTTTTCACTTGCCTAACTCAGCAGCTGCTCATTTACTTTAACAGACTCAGCTCAGTAAACAGCAGCTAAGAATTTGCCCCTAGAATTACTATTTTAAAAGTTTATTTGCAAGCACAGCTGAGTTCCATTTCTGTCTATTCTGGATGATTGCTATGCAAGGTATATCACTACAAATCTGAGGTGATCCTTAGCCTGAAAATTAGTTTGTTGTTCATGTACTCGTTGGATATACAAACCAGGTACCTTTGGTATCAAGATTGTCTTGATGTAAAACTGGAACAACATAGTACCGAATTAGATCCATTTTCTATCACTTAATATAGGCTTTAAATTTGTCCATGGAATGTGTCCACACTAGACTGAGAAGAAGCCTCTTGGCAATACTGAATTATCATACTGAATTGCTTCCATCCATTTGCTGGGGCTGCCAAATTGAAATGATGCATGTCAAGGCAACCCTACACTGAAAAGTAAAAGATAGCCTCTTAAATGTTCCATTTATAAAGCTTTTTATTCACAGTCAAATATAGTATCCCCTCTGAAATATATCACTTTACAAAATTGATACCTTGCCATTACAAGATTTCCACGCCATATTCACTCAGCTTAGTAGTAAAAACAAGCTTTTGCTCTTTTCCCTTTGGTATAGCTGATGAAAACTGAGCAGTTCAAGGTCTGCTTCTTAGATCACCAGCACTAAGTATTCCACAGATCTGTAATCTTCTCCTGCAGGGAAGGTTAAAAGTCAGCAAAAAGGCAAACTGTTAGTTCTATCAGTAAAAAATGACAAGTAGTGCATCGTATTGGAACACAGAAATTGAAGAAAAAAAAACCATCAAACTATTACTAATGCTAAGGATGCCAAGAGTGATCCACAAAACAAAAGCATTCACATGGACTTTCTGGAACACTCTGCAAGGAGTATCACTCAAAGCAAATTAGCAGAAAGAAAAATGACACTGTCACACTGCAGAACGTCAATGTAGTTTTTTCCCAATATATGTCATGTATGAGTCTAAAATGACAAATTGCATTATTTACTTTCGGCATTATTTCCCCTTAATTGCTGTAGCCTAACACTTTTTTTTTTTTTTTTTTTGTTAAATCACTGGCAAGTAAACTTCTAAGAAAGATATACAATCTTTTTAACTAACGCCGTGTTTTGGCATCTTTAGATCTCAGTTTATGACAAAGGAATAACCCGCTCACATTTGGGATGCAACCAGTTTCAATTATTTTGGCCCTCTAAGTTGGAAACTCTTTGGCTTGAAGTTTGTCAGGCTTACTCTTTTGGAGAAGCAGAACATTTCCACAAAGCCTCATGATAATTTCTCCGATTAGATTCCGATTTGCATGTCACTGTTTAGCTGAAGTTAATTTTTTTCAACTTCAGATTGCATCAAAAATAGTTTGCTATTGTTTCCTTACACTTTAACACTCTAAAACAGCTACACATAAACAGCCAGCCATGTCTGATGGAAGAAATGACATCAAGTTGTTTCATTTTTTTATTGAAAAAAGTGGCACATACCCTAGCTTGGAGTGATGTTAAAGAGAATAAAGTTTTCTTCTAGGTATAAGGGGGGTTTGCAGTTGCTTGCAGTAGAGAATCTGCATGAATTGAGTCAAAAGTTCAGTGAGATCTTGCCAGAAGGAACCCTATGTCACAGAATGCCACTTACACCAACATACCTCCACACGTTTTCCAGTTACAGATTGAAGTTTGCTGTTCACAACTCCTGAAAGCCTTCCCGTGGCCAACAGCTGAGAGAAGCCTTAATCCAGGTAACAAAGGTCGCCTCTTCTGGGGCTGCAAAACCAGGTCTTTATCAACCCCTGGGCAAAGTATATCATTTACTATGAAAACCAGGTTTTCCCTTCACATTTGTAATGGTCCCAGCCCCACAGTTAAAAAGTGAATTTTGGTCTACCCTCTTAAATCCAAGAAAATTCTTAATTCTGAGAGAATTAAGTTTGTTTAACTTCTGTCACTCCAAGTAACTGTTTTGAGGAGGTCTCCAATGAAACTGCAACATTAATACTTTCTGACAAAGCTTCATGCTAGTATTGATTTTCAAGGCCAGGAAAAAATAGGATGACTTAATAAAACATCCACTCTTGAGGATGGAGTTCTCGAATAATAAAAATACTGAAGGAGTAGAAATGAGCACCGGTGATGTGTTGACTTCCCAACTCATGGCTAGCATTTATATGGGTGGGAATTTAAGTTCTGGTAAGATTCCTCCTTTGTTAGCAGCCACAGTAAACCCTCTGTCAGAGAGAGAGGTTTTCTAGGAGTAGATATGTAGAAACTTTATGCAGCTGGGAGAAGACCTAGTTTCTCAAGTCAAGTCCCTACTATCCAATGACCTACAAATTTTGCCAAGCACAGAACTTCTCAGATGTCCCTAAGTGCTGTTTGCTATTTTAATGCAGTTATTCAACACTAACACTAGTGGTGCTTAAAATCTTGAGTTGCGTTTTTGTTTGAAATTTGTGAAAATTCTGAAGTATTCTGACATATTTTCTTGGTAAACTTGGAAAATTCCCCATGCAACCTCATATCAAATTCTAGTCATAGCTACTAACTTCACATGCCCACCTCAGCACTTTCTTGGTGCAAAGACTAGAAATCAATAAAAGTTCCAAGAACAGGTAACACAGTAAAAATGCATCTATCAAAACACAATCTTTAACAAAAGAAATATTATTTTCACTTTTAACTTAAAAGCCAGAACACAAAAACTTCTAATTTTGACATCACTGACTAACTCTAGTCAGTCCAACTACATACATATTTCTACCATAACTTTTGAGTTTTACATCATTTTCTCATTGCATTAGTTAAAAACATTTTCAGAAACAGTAATTTTGTTAGTGCTTCCCTTAGCTGGTATATCTAATATTAATTAACCCACAATATATTTATAACAAAATCAAGACAAAGTAGGGAGGTGTCACACACACTTAACGTTCTTTTTAAATAATTAATACTTTAATTCACTGGTACCAATAATGTACTATTACAACAGTAACTCTTTGCATTACACTGGCATCAACTAATGCAGAATTGGTATTTCTGCACTATATTCAGCAATGGGACTAGAAGTGTCCCAGTTTTCCTTCCCTTTCAGGCCCTATAGAACCATTCTACAAACTATGGCTCATACAGATTTACGCACACAGCCACTGCAATAAATGTTCTCCTTGCCAGCCTCCTATTTTGAGGCAGGAAAGCTATTATTTGTTATTCCAATAGTCATGTAGCTTCTCCATGGAGGAACTTTCATGAACAATGTTCAATCAAGTCATTTCACATTTGAAACAGCAGTAAAGTTAAATAGCTATCTTCAAGTCTAGATGTTCCACAAACACTGCACTGATACAAAAAAAACAGCATTCATGATTTAGCATTTCAAGCCTCTTTCTAGTAGGGCTATTAGTGAGTAACAAGCAAAGGGTGACACTTCTTAGTTTGTGGGGCACCTGTCTAGGTTGTTTTCTGTGTTAGAAAAGCCACAAATCCCAGGCTGTGAACAGACATAATGAATTATACAATCCTTAAAAAAAAAAAAAAAAAGTTTACAAAGTTGTATTTGTTACATCTATTTAAACTGCCCTATCACAAATGCCAAATACCTGTATATAATTCATTATACCAGATGGACTTCTACCTCAGTTAAGTCTTAGCTAATAGCCTTGCATTATTCTTGTCTAAACATTTACCAATGAAACCTGTGTACTTTACTGGACACTGAATTATGATCCTTTTCAGAAATTATCCTTTTAAAACAAAAGCTATAATTGAAGCTTAAGAGGAAAATCATGTAATGGAAATGTCCTTCAATCCCCTTTTAATTAACATCACTGTGCATAAATACAAGCTGAGCTGTTCATTTCCTCAAGACAATGCCTCTCAAAGTAAAAGACGTTATCTCCCAGAAAATCTCTGTATTAAATTGCTCTGGCTTGTGCCACTTCAGACCACTTCTATCCTATTGTTTTCCCAATTAATTCACAGGACACCTGGCCTTTTTTCTTTTTTTAAATTGATGGTTTTGAGATTAATATTTGAACCTCATGCTTTGCACACACAGACCTCTACAGCCAAATTTTGTTTCTAATAGTCTGCAGCTGTCATTTGCAGTATCAGGTTGAAAGGGGTATAAGAGAAAAGGCACAGACTTCCAAATAAACTCTGTCCAAACCTACTGAGCACACGAAGAGAAGAACCGCTTTACACAAGTATTGCTATCTTTGATCAAGAACATACTTTGGGTCTTTTGCATTGCACTCCAGAGTCCAACAGCTCTTTCATTCGGCATAACCATGACATTAAACTGTAGAAATAAAGCATTCTCATTTTAGCTTTCAGCTGGCTAATGTTTGTGGGCTCTTGGTATGCATACTCACATGAGCAGTCCTGTAGATCTGAGGCAGCAAAGTTAGGTACCTACATGAAAATCTATGTAATCAAGTTATCTTGTTAGTTGGATTGAAGGAAATGCTATTTATTCAAAGCATTTGTCATGACCAAAAATGTGTAAATTTATACCAGTCACTGAAAAAGTTTCTGGAGATATGCAACAATTATTTGAGTTTAATAAACTTGTCAATGTATTGAACTTTTACTTTCAATATATATTTTGAGACAGTCAATGACAAGAGGACCTTCATTTTAGCACCTAATTTCATTTAGTTCATATTCTGCATTGCATGATGCAGTACAACTCTGTGAGGACAATAACCATCCACTGTACATGATTCAGCTTGCAGTACTATAGGTATACTGGATTCATTTGTTCTTATTTAGTCTTTCATACTAACAGGATTTCCTAACCAGTTTTGTAGACTGCTACCTAAGCTGCACTTTAGTGAACTAAATTATTTTTCCTTCGTAAGTAGTTAGGTGACCGCTAATTGTTAAGTAGCTTTTGGCAGATAATTGAGTTTTGCTTTGCAGTGTATTGAAAAATGAACTAGGGAGGTTCTTCTAAAGAAACCAACACACCTTCCCTCCAAAATGACTAAGATTCACATTTTGAGAAAAACAAATGGATTATCTGGAATACAGAGCAGTAGTTTTTACAGCACCAGAGAATGCTTTCCCTGATGAAGATCTGAGAAATAGCAATGGGTGACCACGCTCCGACCAACTCAGAGCACATTTCTTTCTCTCTGTCAGCAGTAAGGGATAAACACTGCAGCCAAAATTCCAATCAAGTTCCTGCATGTGCCGTTTCCTAATAGCTGTCCCCAGCCTGCTCCTTTCAGACCCTACAAATTGCCCTTTGGGGATATCTATTTTTTCCATTGACTAGACACAGTGGCTTAGAGTGGAATCCAGGCTGTTTGCTTGTGGCCCTTGAAGCTTGGTTTTCTCAGAAGCAACAGAAGTAAGGGAATATGGCATACATTCAAGTTCAGAAGCTGAAAAGGAAACAGTTTAACACAGTGAATAAACCTTACGAAAGTCTATAAATACAGCATTTCACACAGTGATGTAATGAGAAAGTAAACATGGCTCTTTCATAAATACCACAGACTGGAGAGCATTGTTTGAGACTTTTTAATATTTGGGAGATTAAGGACATATAAAAAAAGTGTCAATCATTCAGCAGTAAAAACAACGGAATTCTTAGGCATGGTGAGAAAAACATCACTAGTATCTATTACCAGCAAGCGTATGTCAGGTCATTATCATTTTAATAATGAAATGTTACTTCTCCCATATCAAATGGCACCTTCAGATGCACATACAATGCAATCACCTCAGTGACAAGTGTTCTAGACAAAATACAATCCTGTAAAATTCTTAAGTAGATCTTCATCAGGATGGTGCTATACAGCACCTCTGCAAGATCCATACAGTACTCGAAACACATTTTGAAATAAGTTCTAGGTGTCTCTAATTTATATAAGAGGAAACAAAAATTTAGTCCATCTTTCTCTTTTTCCCTTTAGCAGGACTTTCGGAGGTATGTTCTTTTTCAGCATTTGGTTCCCAGAGTGCATTTCTTACAAATCTAGAAGCAGCTCCTTTATTGAGTTTGGATGCCTTTTTCTTGTCTGCAATTTCTCTGACCTTGTTCATGTATGTTCTTATTCTCTCCTAAGGGATTAAAAAAAAAAAAAAAAGTATATTTCACACCATTCTTACAAGATTGCTGCTGAAATAAAATCAGTGAGTAAAAGCTCTCCACACTATACATTTCTGTAACTATAATACCTAGAAAAAAAGCACCATTTAAATATATGTACCAGGCTCTTTGCAAACTGGTGGCTTCCCCTTTAGCAGATTTTCCATCACAGTTACCTACCACACTAATATCTGCGTGTCATCCACTGTCATAGGAACATGAAGTCTACAGAGATGAAAACTCTGCATTTAATTTGCATTGAAATGAGAATTGTTCTTGCAAGCAAAGTTAGAAAACAAAACACTGAACTGAATTCGGAGTTTGGCCTACCTAAAGATGGCAAAGTAATACTTAAGTATTCGACATCTTTACAGATGAATTATACTACCTGAATACTGTCTACAAAAAGAAAAACAAAGGAAAATTCTGCATATCCAAGCAAAGCCAAAAAGTATCTTACACAAAATCAAAGATGTTACAAGCATTATACAGCCAATTACGCAGAAGTCTTGTGGTTTAGATCCTGAAGAGGACTTATCAATGAACTTATTTAAGGCAGTCTGATAATTTCCAGTTGTACCAGAAGTTCCTTTTATGACCATAAATAACAAAAATGCCTGTTCCTCTGTCATTCCATAATTCAAGGGGTTATCTTCTTGCCATCTTAGCCTACCATACTCATTTGGTGTATAAGGGTTTTTTTGAACAAAGCATGGCTTGGATTCAGCCTCACCCAAGAATACCCTCCCAGGTTAACAGTTTCCTTTATGTGCCTACTCATCCTCATCTACTTCTGCAATTAATAAAGAAAATTACTTTGAGAGGGTAACTAAACCCCTCTAAGATGGGAATCACCCTCTGTAAAGTGCCTGCTTCTCTTTACTGACTAGAGAGGACCCTTTTATGTATTTTACAGAATTACTCTAAGTTTGGTTGATAGATTTCATGTCTACGTATTTATCCTACTATGGCCTTCAACTCTAGGGCCCTGAGTTGTCATCACAATACAAACAGCAGTAACATATATATATATATAGCACTCTACCAGATACCTGAATTGTAAACATGGATTACCAGAACATTTATGGATACTGCTAACTAATAAATGTTGGTATTATGTAATCCACACGTTTCTCACACAGCCATTGATAGCTCTTTCAGTCCAGAACAAAAGTTACAAGACCTACACTATAGAACTGATTTTCAGTTCTTCAGTGACCATTATAAGCTACCGATTTGTTTAAAGAGTTGGCCACTCTTTCTGTATCAAAAATACAGTGTTAACGAGGAGAGCTTTACAGGGTCTGAAATCATGATAGACTGTAGTATTTCTTCGGTGATCAAGATGGCTAATGAGAACAGATGGCAAACCTGCATGTATCAACATGAGAAAAAGGAGCTGACAAATGTCAACGTGACAAAAGAAATGAACTTTGATAGCTTGAATGTGAGTTTTATTAATATAGTTTGAATCCCCTTGTATTCCCTCTATGTATACAAGGAGAGCAATTCTAAAAAGAAAACAATCATGACAGAACAGGGGTTATTTTATTCCCTTTCCACATGAATGAATAAGAACATCACAATGCTCTTGGAAGGAAGGAATGTGCATTCATTCACTTTCATACTTGTAAAAAGAAAAGAGAACTGGATAAGAATATAGGCTATGATAATTCACTCATTCTTCAGAGTTAAAACGACTGGCAATTGTGAAGTAAAATACCAGCATAAAATATCCACAGCAGAAGCGGTGAAAGTTATTTTTTAGTATCGCTAAATTAACACAATATTCAGACACTATATAATATAGGAGGAACAAGAAACTGACTGAAAGCCCATGAAATATTAACTGATTCATTTTTTAATATGATACAGTCTAGACTAGTGAAAACCTCACAAAATTAAAAATAGAAGTATTCTTGTTATTCAAGCTAGCTTTCCACATTTTTCAGTTCTATCTTCCGTTCTACTGGTTATGTAAGGATTACATTTAAGCGAAGTATTTTACGATTGCCCAGATTTAATATTTTCATTTATACCGGAATTAAAATGGGTAGCTATAAGTTTTGATTTCTATTTTTTCTTCAGGCTAAATGATTTGATTTTTTAAGTCAGCAGAATTTTCAAGATAGCTGGCCTTCTACACTGTAGTCATGCATCTAAATGGAATATAAAGATAAACCTAAAAGATTTATTATACGTTGTAAATATGTCACTAATGCAGAATTACTGGACAATACACATACAACTGGTGCCAAAAAAGCTTTTAGCTTTGTTGCTGAACTGGATTCTTTACTGCTGAGAAAATGAATTAATGGAGGACTTGGAAGGGGGAGGGGGGGCTCTTTCCCGTCTTTGCTAGTAAATCAACCACACTATACTTTTAGAGTCATACAAAAGTAAGAAAAGGCAGCCTGAGAGATTAACATGATTCCAAGTATTTATAAGAAAAAAATGCCATACTGGAAGTTATAAATTATTATCAGACATGTAACATTTTTCCATTTAACAGATACAAGTGAAAAACTGCTCTGTTCAGAATCCAGTTCTCAAACAAAGGTGAAGAAAAGATGACACCATTCATCTTCTTGTTCTTTTCTAATTTCAGCAGACTCTACAGCTTTGCTTTAGACAGTACTGTTTGGAACTAAAAATATGACTTTCTTAATTTAGAGAGCCCACCAGGGCATATGAACAGTTATAAAACACCATGTAGCATATGCCTGCTATTATGGCAACATATCAATTTTAAATGTAGATATAAACATTTTTTTTTATTTCTATAGGAGTTAACTGTTCTGAGCAAGTAAGATATTGCAGCGCATGCAGTGTAAGAATCTTACCAGTTCTTGTTTCACTGGATGTTCCTTTGGATTGATTCCCTGAGTAGCCAAGTACACTGCAAGAAAAAAAACTTTTTTTTTTTGAAACTGAAGGCTGTCATGACTGAGGACCCAATTAATAAGTCACGTAGGAACACAGTAGTTTCCACATGAAACCATTAATAAGAATTTGCATTAACAGTGTTAAGTACCTGACAAATTATTATCATCATATACTGCAGCTAAAAAAAGAAAAAAATACATCTAACACGGTTAAACTTTCTGTTCTTAAAGAGACAGAAGAGGTTGCCACGGAAAAGCAGAAAGAAACATCCTCACGCATGTACAAAGTCAGCTTCTGCAAATGCCAATTTTTGATTTGGAGTATCAACATCATTTATTCTACGGATGGCAATAACTTGGGTCCTCAGGGTAATTACAAGTTTCTAATGATTTGGTTATGAAATATGATTATTTAATATTTGCAGGTGTCTAGGTGTTCAAATAGCAATTATAAACACTGCTTTTAACTCCTACCACATACTTACCCCAGAACATTGAATTTAACGTGTACACCGAAACCAAATCCAGCTTTGCTTGCTCAAGAGGCTCTAACTAGAATGAAAACAAACAACCACATTGCATATTTTTAGGCAAGATGTGCACAGGTTTTAGTAATATGCATGTGTTATAATTGTGAATATACTTATTAAAAAAAAAACCACACTGAACGAGCATGCTTCTGCACCACAAGTTCACTGAGACCACGTCTATGGCTATTTCCATGCCACCACAGAACCATTCTCTCCTCTGCAAGCATTCATGTAATTTTCCAGTTTAATGTTCAATGCCACAGTCCCATATGGCCAAAAGCACAAAAACCCCTTGGCACATAGCTCTTAAGACTACTGTTCCTGTAGTCAGAAATAAGTCTCTATTTTTCTACAGAAACTTAATTCGAAATAGTTGTTGCTATCAATGGGAGGGGAAAAAAAAAAAAAAAAGTCTTAATATTTCTGAAGCTCAAATGTGAATATAGTATGCTACAATCAGTGAACTGCACTACACAAGGTAGACTGTATTTTCAATGCATGCTGGAATACTTAGGGCTGTAAAGCAAAGGAAGAATAAAGGTAATGAAGGTTTTTTTTCCTTGACTGTCAAAGTCAATTTATTATTTTAGTCCTATAGGATTTCCAGAAACTCTGATAACATCATTGTACAGCTCACTAGTTCTAACATGGATACTGTCAAAAGATTGGTGCTGTCAAGACTGTTTTCTTCATAATTTATTTGTGTTAGAAATCCTCAGAGGATAAAGAAGTTCCCTCATGTGCTGGCTCTTTCTTGCCCTACAGAAAGAACTTACATGTTAGGCTTTAAATGCTAAAAGATGGAAAGGATTGTATGAAGTCTTTGGGCAGTGCCTTGCTCTGTCTTTATGCCCCAATAAAAACCCACATTTTACAGACTTATAACATAGCTAGAGGAGACAGCACCAGGTTCTTCAAGTCTAGACTTCCAGAATCCGATCAATTCTTACTCTTGTCAATTCACCTTTACATCCTTCTGGGTATACTAAGTTCCATTAACTTTGTTGTGAAAAGGTCTCAGTCAAAAATGTGAACGACCTCTCCATTATGAAAGAGCGCTCAGCATGCACTTTAAGGAAGGTCAGGAATAAGCCAGAATGTCCCCTACCTAAATGACTCACTGGTACGATCATCACTTTTCAGCTTGGAAGACCATATATTTCACTGTTTAGTTTGTAAGGCTGTCTGGATATCTTAGAAATGTAAGAATTTCACTATTAGGTATCAAGGGTAGGAAGTGTCATATTTGTTATTTCTCTGTGCAGTGGCTAGCCTAGTACACCCTTTTATTTCAGTTTGGGCTCCCAGGTGTTCTTGTATTAATAACAAAAAGGTTGTCAAAAGGGAAGTTACCTTTTGGAGAAGCTCACTCCTAGAAACTGACATCATTGTCTTCAGCATCTCATCTACAGAACCAAGAGATTTTTCAAATGCTGCAAGATACTCATGAATTTCAGTGGGATATTCTTCTGTATTAATATCATCTTCTGACATTTCCATCTGGAAAGAGGAAACAGAACTAATAATCCTTTTCATTAAGTCCCTACAGAGTCAAAAGACTGTATTTTACAATCCAAAGCATTAGCATTCATTCAATAAACGTTATAAGAAATGCTTACTTCTGAAGAGTTCTAGCAGGTAATGTCAACAGTGACACAGTTAAAGGTCCTGTAATTTCAGGGATATCTCCTAACCACCGTGCAAAATGGCATGAAGGAGCATTACAAATTACATGACTGTAGTACCTATTCTTGTAACAGTCCCAAACCAGTATTTAGCTTTTATGGTCTGTGATAGAAAGAAATTATTTGCTTGTTTAAAAGAATTGCTCTATAAATCACAGTATATAAAGAGCTATACCAAGCAACAGGCAGGACACTAAAAAAAAGAAAAACCACCACCAGAGATACAGCTTCAGCCTGTCTTAGGAACAGACATTACTTCAGCTTTAAAACAGTTATGCAGCACCGGTTATGTCAGGGTCAGTTACATCTTCCAATGCTAAATTTAGGAGTTGGTCCAAGAAATTCTTCTTGTGAACCCTGAATGCAGTCCTCTGAATTCTCAATGGAGTATTATAATCTGCGATATAACTCTACCAGTAACAAAGCTGAGTTGATTTGGGGATTTCAGAATACTCTGGAAATCTCGTACACACATCCATACATAGCAACTGCAAGAGAATCAAAGATGTGAAAAATCCCAAAGCACTCCCTTTTCTGATCCCAGTGTTCACAGTAACATGGCACAGCTACTGCCAAGCATTCTGGCTGCTGGCTTACAATCGATATCTTTAATTCCTCTCAAATCATAGATCACATATTATCATCTTGGGGAGTTAATGTTACTTAAAGCTATGTTATTTTCTACAACTTCTACTGATTGAGCAACAACTTGTTACAAGGAAAGAAGAGAAGAAATAGATTATTTTCCTGCCCATTTGGTGAGCTGCATCAAGAACAGTGGGAGCACCTGGATCACTGCAGTCCTTCTGACCCAGGATCAGCATGATAATCCCACTACCCAACTGCTGAGTACAGAGGGCAGGAACATAAATTGGAGAAACTCAACTTTATCTATGGACACCAAGCCACACAGCCAGTGCAAACAGCAAAGGAAACAGCACACAGCTGTCACATCACTGGAGTTTGTTTTAGATAACGATTCGATCTTTCCCTTTTCCTGGCAAAAGCATGGTATGTGTGAGAGAGGTTTCTCTTTATTTATATGTCTCCTGGCGGCCAAACAGGAGAAAGACTGGGAAGAAAAACCGTGTGGAGCTACTCAAGCTTGTCTGCAACTCCAGTTTTAACCGCACCAGTGTAATTCCAGAAATATGATCAGACAGTTAACAAGCTCAGTTTCACTGCCATTGTTTGCATAGTTTGGAATTATAATCCTACTCAGCTGCATGACTTTTCATCCTGGTCAGAGCCATTTTTCGGATTGAGTACAGAATCACAGTGCTAACTATGACATATTGAAGGTCCCCTCCCTACCACAGCATGTAACTCACACATGTAAACACCGTTTCAGCCAGCTGCAGCAAACCTAAGCGAGAAAGTGGAGCTAAACCTACAAGATGCTGCCCACAGAAAGGCAAAATAGCAAATATGATTATTTCTGCCATTTACAATAGTTTGTATTTCGCTCTGATCTGGCCACCTGCATTATAATCACCTTTCTTAGGTTGATTAAAAGAGCCCAGAAACAATGTTTGCTGTTAACTTTTAGTCATATCATACAGTATAAAAACCACTCAAAGCTACAGAAGAATCTAGATTTCCCCAGCTGTTAATACAGATAAGCTTGGTTAGAAGGTGTCTGTCAATACACATTTACTGTACTTACAGATACAGGGAGAGAGGTGTAATCCAATCCAACAAATCATCTACAGAGTTTACCATCACTACAATACTTAATCTACTATAGTCTTAATTTGACAGACAGGCATGAACGTAGTGACAAATTCCAACTTTTCTGCCTCCCTTTATCAGGGCATCCAGCACCAACAACTGCAGGAAGAAAAAACTCACCAACAAAAACCTGTAGCAGGAATGTGTTATCAATCAAAACTAACTCAAGCTGTTTTCCAGACTTGCGAGGATAAACAGTCACTAAAGCCTATATGATGTTCTTTCCAATATCCCAAGCTAGACCTAAAGAATGAGACAGAGAAAGAATGGGAAGATAGAAGGAAAGACAACAGATACAGTCCAAAATATATTTTTCTGTAACTGCTATCTCATGAACCAAAAAGAATTAAGTTTCCCCTCGTATCACAAAGTATTTACTTTACACGCAATTAGCAAGGAAAGGGAAAAAAAATGCACCAGCCTTCAATGGAACAAGGCTGCACATTAGCCCGTGTACAGTACCCTTCATATCTGATAAGTCCACTCCTTCTGCCCAGGGAGAAGGAAGAATTTGTTGAACTTGTGTTTTCTGTTCATTTCAACAGGAACTAGCAAGCTCCTACTCCTGCTGCGTAGGGACCTCTCTCTTTTCATTAGACTGTTGTTTCAGCATTAGTAATCTCTAAGCAGGATATGTTACAGTGTTGGCACATGCCAACAATAAGGCAGCAGTCAACAGCCTAAAATAGTTTTGATAACATTAAATCAACAAGAGCCAACTTATACTACATTAGAAAACATGTACACCGGAAACTCCACAAATTTTTTTCTGCCAAAATCAACACACAGACTGCACAGTCACACCTGCAGAATGACAAAGCCAAGGATGGGAGGAACCAAGACCACACTGGTGATTCTCTAAACATACCTAAAGGCTATACTGCCCTCAGTAGTTACATTTCAGTTATTAAGCCACAAACACAATTTTCCTCAAAATTTTACAAGTGTTTATATATTTTGAACAAGTCGATGTTTACTACATAGGTTTTCACTGTTGAATTTGCTGACTTTCAAACAAATTTAGCACAGAGATCCCGCTTAAAAAAATTAAGGTCAGCACAAATGCTGGGTAAGCTTGTGAATAATGGGAAAGTCTAAGGAAAATAAGGATAAGACAGCATTTTCATTATCAAGTAATAACATTTATGATGCAGAACACATAATCTGTGGTTGTGTGCATGATGAGAATACTTTATAAATATATATATATATATATATATATAAAAGATATACATATATATAAATCTTATATATATATAAGATTCTGAGAATGCAAAGAAAAGTTCACAATCCATAAATATGAAGTAGAAGAGGAAAGACCTACTTTGATTAAGGACACAGAGGCAAACAAATAGCAATGAAAAATGCAGTATGACTTCATAACATCTGTCTACTAGAAACAACTTTCCCTTTTAACCCTGAGCTCAAAAACTGCCGTGTAGTTTTTGGGAAAACAGAACCAAAGAGAAATATATTGAGGAAGAAAAGGACTCGAATCACAAAAGCAAACCATTTTCATGAGAAAACTTACTCATTGCTCTTAAGTCTGATCAAACAGAACAAGTTTCCACAGGTGGAAAATTTCTGAGTATTCTGAAATTTCTGAAAATGTCTGAAGTGTCTGGAATTTCTGAAAATTTCTGACTATATTTATATAAAATTCTGCAAGGAAACAAGGAACACCTTGTTTTCTCTCCAATCAACATAGTCTAAACCAGAGCAAGTAATACACTCAACCTGCAAAAAGGGAAGAGAGGGAAATATCAGGCATTATGAACCACATAAAAGACACAAATATGGAAAGGACAAAGCAAGAGCAAATACGTCATCTTCTGCAGACTGTATAAAAAAGACTAAAGAGGTGTCAATCAGATGCAGTTTGCCATAGTGCTAATGTGGCTACTGATTGAAGATCCAACTGAGTTAAATGCTGTATTAAGGAAGTTTAAATAAAAACAAACAAAATACAGATAATTGTGCACTATACAACTAGCAAAATCGTCCATTTTCATATTTATCTTCAGGAGAATAAAGAGAAGAATCCAGCAGACTCCTTTCAAGAAAAACACGCCCATGACTGGCATACAAAGGTAAGAAAAGGAAAAAAGGAAACTGCAGACAATTTGCAGGTGGCTTTTGAGAATAATCTTTGAATATATCTGGTGCTTTAGCACAAGCCTTAGAAAATAATTGCCAGCTGTCTTAAAAAGCAAAACCAAACCTCCTTTCCTACCTACCCCCTCAGCAAAACTGTATCCGTCATACTGAAAGATATAAACTCTAATTAGGCCCTGGGTACCTCTATGAGAGATTCTGCTGAAGATGCATGGTGAAAATAATGGAAGCTACATGCATATATCAACATGGCAATAGGAAACCCCAGAAGAGAGAATTAAAAAATGCTCGGTGTTAGTGTCACGCACATGGTTTTCAACTGGAATTAAAACTGCAAGTTCAGGTTAAAAATCGTGTATTTGAAATATTTTGTAACATGCAAACAGAAGACAAAAGTAATTCAGCATCCTTCATTCTGCTTAATATTGCAACTCACTTCGTGTTAATTCTTACCTATTTCCTAAGTGCTAGAAGGCCTTGTCTTCATACTAAGTTCAACTCTTTATTTTTTCAGGTTATTCACCTAACAAAAATCAGATTAGACTTTCCTTCTTTTCATGGATATTTACAGATTATACAGAGAAAGCCAAAACAAACCCAAACCCTTTTGGTCAGGGCATATAAAAATGCTCTCAAATTGAAAACAAATGCATTAACAACATCAATATGACAAACCATCTCTGTCAGCTCCTAAAAACTAACACTGTCCTCCCTCTTGTGAGTTCTGACTCACAACCTGCAGTGAATGTAGCTGATGTGCAAGCGCAGCAGGGATGTCCCTTTTGCTCTAACGCTGTAGTTCGCTGTGGCTACAGGACAACAAAGTAACGAGGAACAAACATCTTAAATTTAAAGCTACCAGAGATCATGACTAAGATCTCTGATCACAAACCTCTGCTGGGCAGAGAAATCCACTTCATTCCGTGTTTGCAAAACTCTAAGTACGACAGGCTCTAATTTGTGACAGACACTCCTCAGCATTACTGCTGCATAATAAATAATTAGTTGCCCACTAGCCATCACTGTGCCCACAGATCTGCTTTGCTACTAATGCCTTTCAAGTCAGCTCAGGGCAGCTGGAGAGCACATCCAGTACAATTAGTCAGAGCACTCTTGCAACGCCGACTCACAATCTTGTTTGCAAGAAAGATTTCCATTGCAAAAGTAATTAAGCCTACCATGAAATACCAAGTATGCACAAACAGGCTTATCTTGATCCTCTTAAAAATATCCCAACTCAACCCATGGTAGTTACCCAATGCACACTTTGCACTATATTACAAACAGGCAACTGCCGAGCAATCATTTTTAGCCCTGCCTTCGAAGTTAGGCTCCAGTCAGCATCTCAATTTGTAGGGTGCACAGAACCCTACAAAACAGCTCACAACCATCAGGCTCTTGCTGATGCCACTGAGATAAAGTCTCTTGAGCCTGAAAGAATCTGCAAAGTTTATTCTGATCCATCTTAAACAAAAATTAAAATTTAAAGGGAGGGAATAGTATTTTTGACACTCACACTTCAGCCCATGGTGGATATCACATGAGAAATCAGGTATCTCAGCACCCATATTCACAGTAGCCCCATCCACACCCATACCAACCAACTTTGACATAAACCTTCAACTTGACCTGCATGATTCATAAAATATTTTTATTCTCTGTAATCAACCATCCTAGATTCCACGTCTTTGATGACAGTTGTTTCCTCTTCTGAATAAATCCAACATACTCTGGCTCTTGTTCAGCTCCAACCTGTCAGGACACCCATCAGTAAGTACAATGATAAAACCAGCTTTCTTTAGGTATGGCTGGAACACTTCTCAGTGAGAAGTTTTCATAAAAGCTCTCACACTATGCTACCACAGCTTAGTTCAAGACTGAGGCTTTAAAGTGATGTTAAGATTTGTACATCTTGAACTGGTAGCACTGAATCTAGCAAGAACTTGTACAGAAAAATACTGTCTCCTTGCACAAAACAGTTTATACACAGTGGGTTTTTGTTCATGACAGCAATCAATACTGAATACTTCTATCCTGCCAAATTTGCAGCCAACGGGGAATAACCTGCCTCCAGTCTATAGCTCCTGTACACTCTAAAAACATGGGAGTATACTGCCTCTTCTAAAATTTGCTGCCACTCTCCACTGGTATCAGCACCATGAATATCCAGAATCAAAGCCAAGAAATTTCTTAATCCTTTTAAACTGCTGACCTCCTTTGTTTCCTTTAGCCACTAGTTCCACAATGCGTGAAAAAGTACTTCCTTTTATCAGAATTCAATTTCCTGTATTTGCACTTCATGCAGTAGCTTTCTCTACTGTTTAGAACAGCGACCCCAATCTATTTTTGGCTGTCCATTATTTCACTGTGCTAACAAGGCTCTGTTCAACTATTAGAACCATATTTACCCATATTTTTATTGGTTGAATATAAAGCAGTAACTGTGGGATGTTGTGTTCTAACCATCAATCTTATTGAAGCAGGAGAAAAACAGGGAAAATATTTTCTAACTATTCCCTAAATGGAATTTAAGAGCTGATAACCTGACAAAAAGGAGACCAACTAATAGCAGGAAAGAAAATAAAAGGGATGTGCAAAAAAAATCACAAAACTGAGGGAGTAATGGGGAAAACTCATGTGGGAACATGGAGTTTTCACAGGGTTTGAAATAGATGAAATAAAACATTGTAGCATGGAGAATAGATAGATGCACCCTGGTCTAGCACAGGAAGAAAGGGCAAGGCAGTAACCACAGCCTGACACAGAAGGGAGAATAAAGAACCTGGAAAATAGAGGAAGAAGAGAAACAGGAAACTGAGTAATTTCCCAGCACAGAAAAAAAGGAGCTTCTACAGAACAGCATACATGGGAAACACTGCGTGCATGAAGGGATAGCTAAAAGTGGTGTGTGTCCCAAGGCCCAGCAGAATGCCTCACTGCAAGCCTGTGTGGAGAAAAGCAAATAGTGAACGGAGAGCTCAAACAAAGGTAATAAAGTCTGCAATCTCAAAGCTTTCATAGTCTGTTACCACATCCCCTTAGCATCACCTCTGAAGTTAACCTTCACTCTCTTTGTTACGCCTCAGTCAAACACCTTAGTTTCTTATTTCTGTGCCACCTTTTCCAGCTCTGGTTCTGCAACATCCACCTGGAGCTGTGGCGCCCACTGGTACCATGCAGTACCATTCCAGTGCAGTTTAC